TATACTCTACCATATATCAAACAGTATGTCTGTGAAATGCTCTGATGTAATTAATTGGCACAACAGCCCTATATGGTTTATCATCTAAAGGGGAGCATTGTTTTGAGCATGAAAGTCATCATAGTCGATATTTATTCTGGGACAAAGATTTAAACTGGGACTGACCTAGGAGACTAGGATGCATTGTTGTCCTACCTATATGGTACATAGTCTATCCTTATTCTATTTTTGTTTTACTTGTTTCTTTTTTTGTTAGATTGTTTGAGACAGGGTCTTCCTATTTAGTTGAGGCTGCCCTTGAGCTCACTGCATAGCCCAGGCTGACCTCATGACCCAGGGGTGACCCCTCCCTCAGCCTCCTGAGTACTGGGATTACAGATGTCTGCCCCCACACCCAGCTAGTCTCCTTTTATATATAAGAAAACTAAGATTAAAAAATAGCAGTTGTAGATGCTTTATGTTTCATGTTTCTATGTAGTAGGATTTCATGCTTATTTTTAGTTAACTGTAGTTATTAGTACATGTGTGTAGTAATAATGTTTACATTCCTTGTGAGAAGTTAGTACATGTACATCTTAATTCCTTTAATCCCTTTTCCCTTCCATCCCTCCTCCCCTCTCCTCCAATCCTTAGTCTCTTCCTGGTAGTTTGGGGTTTTTTTATATGTTTACAGTGCATAATGCTCACATTCCTTGTGTGGAGTTGGTACATGTACATAACACATCCCAATTTCTGTTTTTCATCCCTTATGGGGATCAAGAGATGGAGAAAGGGGAAAGGCAGATTTCATGTTTAGACACACTCTTTATGTTTCTTCTAAAACATCAGATTAACTGGAAACAACTCTATAACTTACATTTCAATATGAAAATGCTCTCATTTTCTCATCTTCCTCCTCAGAGCAGCATGTGGGGAAAGTCATGGGCATAATGTCTGTGATAAGGGTGAAATTTTTTTAAATTCTTTTATTGGTACATTTTAGGTGTACAATACATTTACATTTACCATTGGCTGCTTGTACCTGTACATGATGTATCTTGGTTCTTATTTTCTTCCCCCATTACCTGTGCGCCCTTCACCCAGGGTGAAATTTTTGAACTTGATTCTAAATAGAACTCTTAAAATAAGTCCAAGGTCATAAGAAATGATCTACAAATTTCAACTAGGTGTCTCCTAGCATGGGCTGTCATTCACATTACTGGCGCTCTCTCTGCTCATTTCATGGTTCAAAGTCAGGATGCTCTCTGCAGGAGAGACCAGGAGAACACACTGTTCTAAGCAGTGCCTGTTAGGCCACCTGAGCCCCACGTATTCTTTGGCTTGGAGAACCAGAAAGCCAGAGTTCTCTAGGAATGTAATTCACAGCTGTATTAAGAACACCTCCTGGGTTGACCTCTGAGAGGAATCTGCAGCAACAATAAGAGCCCTGTCCATGTTAACATTTCAGTGAAAGTACAGGAAGTGGCACAAAAAGATTTTTTTGTGTGCCCTATAGAAAGTGCTCTGAGGTATGACAACTATTGTGCATGGAGGCACAAAAGTCATTACTAATTAATTTTAAGAAAAGTTCTAAAATACAGGGGTTCTGAAATAGAGAAACTTAAGATGGTCAAGATAGGTTATGAAAATTATGATTAAGGCAACATGTCAGTCCTGATACTATTTTGAACTGTACTTTTATGCAAATTAGAAAAACCTTCATTTTCTCAAGACAATTGCTAATGCTTTCCAGGAGCTTAACGTGATAAATATACACAGACATGTTTATAAATGTAAATGGCTTTCTCTAGAGTTGTGTAGTCACAACCTGCCCAGCCAATACAACTATGGAACATAGTGGCCTTGAGTGTGTAATCAGCCTAAAGGTCTTGGTTTTGTTTGGGTGAAATTTTAATTCAAGGTATCAAATAATTTGCTTGCTTTATTTTATTTATCACTTGTCTCAAAGAAAGTATCAGGTAGTTTATATCTCAAGGAAAAGTAAGATGAGTAAGGGTAATTCAAAATTCTTTCCTTCAAAATGTAAATACTTGTTATTGGTGGGCCACAGATTTGCCTCTGAGATAGCTTAAAGCCAAATCAAAATGTTCCGTGCTTTTACACAGAGGGTGACCTAGGTATCCCCCTGTCTCCTTGAGGAAGTGCTTGATTCCAGAGGGTGGAAAAGTTGAGACTGCTAGTCAATAATATTTCAAATTTCCCAATGAGTGAGCAACCTTCCCTTTGCTTAGATTATGCAGAATTGGACAGAACCACACTTACAGGGTTACAGCACAACACAGCACAGCACACACAACACAGCACAACACAGCAACAGGAAAAAAAAGGCCAGTGTCTTCCAGGACAGAGATAAGGTATCATTTAAACAATGGGAAAGACATTTCTTTTTCTTTTCTCCCTTGGGAATTTGTTAAGGTTAGGAGCAGGGGGCAAAATCAATCTCATGTTGCCTTGATCCTTCGAACCCCAGACCGTCCATTTGACAGAAAGAATGCCAGGTTTCTGGTGAAGCTGGGGCTGTGGTGAGTGGTAGTGGAAGGCATAGGCAGACCTTTTCTCTAGGCTTTGCTGATTTTCTGCTTTGCAAATAAGGAAATAATGGTGAGAGACAAGCTGTGATTTAAATATACAGCAAGGCAGGACCTGAAAACCAGCCATGTCGATTTTCCCCTTCCTTCCCCATGCTAGATTCCTGCTATGCAGAAGAGTTCTCATCTGTGATAATTATAGAGTGGAGCTTTTGATTTCTGAGACACAGGTGATAAACCTTAGCCTCGAGGAAGATGATTTGCTAACCTGCTTTTACAATAGCCCAGAGCTGCCTTCAAATCTGCAAAATTCTTGGGAATGTTTCTAGAAATCTCCTCAGATGTTTCAGTAAGGGCTTGAGGGAGGCTTATAAGATTTACTCCAAAGATTACTGCTTCAGCATATCCCAAGAAGCGCGTTTATGTCACATGTACACATTTCTTTCTGAATTCTGCTTGCTAATTTCTAGAAAAGACATACGCACTTCTTGTGAACACAAGGCACCCAAAGATAAGAAGACAGATAGAGCAGGGGATGGACATGGTCATCTCCTCAGTGATTGGAGAAAGTTACCGACTGAAGGTAAGCCTAGCCTGGCTGGATTCAGGCTGCCACTCATATGAAGGGGCTGCATAGTTCATGCAGTCTGTGTCCCTGGAGCCTGCACTCCACTGTGGTGGGCCCCTGATAAGTCACACACATGCCTGGAACTATGCATGGTACCAAACCCTATTATATGTCCAATGTTTTTTTTTTTTCTATATGTACATACAGAAAATCTCAGAGTTTTACTTATACATTAGGCTCAGTGAGGAACACTAACTATAAAATAGGACAAATAAAAAAATTCTTAAAACTTATAAATTATTTCTTTCTGGAGTTTTCCACGTTGTATTTTCAGACAACAGGGAACTGAAACTTCAGAAAGCAGAACTATGGATAAAGGGGAATTGTTTTATATTCAGACATTTCATTCCCTATTGTGTCATAACTGCTGGCTTAGTTTCCAGCAACTTTTTAGGAATGGGGTATAAATAAGTGTGATTCTGGCCAAGCAGTTCAAAGTTTTAAATTGGATACCAAAATGAAGATTCATTTTTTTAAAAAAATAAATAAATAAAGATAAGAGTTTTACAAAGTAAAAGAGAAATAAAGAGTTGAGTAGTTGTTAATTCTATAATGTCAACATAATAGTTCTATTCATACAGTCAATTAAATGTTTCTTTGTCTTTCAGTTTGATTTTCAAGAAGTAGTGAAGAATTTTTTCCCTCCAGGAACTGAAGTAATTAATGGAGAAAATCTGAGCTTTGTGTACGAATTCAAAGCTGATGCCTTATTTGATTTTTTCTATTGGTTTGGGCTCAGCAATTCCACTGTGAACGTGAATGGAAAAGTTCTGAATTTGTCAAGTACAAGTCCAGAAAAGAAAGAGACAATTAAGTTATTTCTGGAAAAAATGAGTGAACCTTTTATCCGAAGGAGCAGTTTCTCTGACCGAAAATTCAGTGTAACTTCCAGAGGTATGTGAAAAATTCTCAAGGGCTTGTGAAGGATAGTTCAATCACAGTGGAATAATACAGTGAGAGAAGAAAATCAATTGAGAAGGCAAGAGCCAAGATCTGGTGATAAAAGGGAAATACATCCCATAATTTAGAAAGAATTGAGAAATGTTTATTAACAAAAAGAGACCCTGTTTTTAAGAGAGCCAGGGAGAGAGAGAGAGAGAGACAGAGAGAGAAAGAGAGACTGAGACTTTTCTTCTCTGGCTCCTTTAAGTTTTCTGACATAGCAATTATATTGTGCAGCACACCCAGAAAATAATTTTAAAGATTATTAATTTAAATTATATTGATGCTCATTTAAATATTATGAAATAATGCTGCTTTCTTTGTGTGCATATTTTGGACAACAGAATGGTCACTAAATCAGTTGGGGAAGAAGTCTACATGGTTGTGTTACTTATCTTTAACAATTTGTGGAAGGGTTCTCCAGGTCTTGCAGGACTACAAAAGAGACACTCTTGAGAAGATGTCATTTAACAAACTGTAATTGACATATGGTGAGTTCTCAATTTTGATATCCATGTGGCTCAAGCAGATGGCACGGATCACGTTTTGTCTGGATGTGTCTTTGGTGGAGTCCATTCTCTATTGCAGCCTCCTCTAGGACATGGAATAGCTTCCTTGAAGCAGAAAATAACCAGTCTCTATGAACCTGCAGTGTTCTTACAGTGCAGATGGAAACTATTCTCTTCATATTTGTATTTAGCGACAGCTGTTTTCTTCCAGTGTTTACAGCAGAAGTGCTTACTCCCAGCTGTTTCTTCTCCTAGAAGTGGTCTCTCTCTTTCCCTTTCCCTCACTCCTTCCCTCCTTCCCCTTCTCTGTCACTGTCTCTCTCTCCATCTCTGTCTTTGAATCTCTCTGTCTCTCTATCTAGACTGTCACTGTTCATCCCTCTTCCCCCCCGGCTCCCATGTTTGTCTGTCTATCTGCCCCTCTCCATGTTACATTAGCTTCCTCTGGCTGGGAGTTTCTCACAGAGATGCCCCTGTGCTATCTCCGTGGCAGCTACATACAGGATTATATTCAGCTCCTTTCAGGAAGATAACTCACCCTGTTGTGGCAGTGTGACACATGCCCGGTCCCTCTATGGCACCCTCAACCCACCCACTGGCCGCAGAAGCCTGGAAAATTTTCCTGTTTCATTGTGACTTGCTCCCTGTCCTGTAACCTATCCAGAGTGTCCATATCCATCTCAGGGACACCGAGGCACATGGGAAGTTGGCAGGGCTTTTCTGGGAGTTTGCTGAGCCGGCCCCAGGATCCCTTCAGCTCCAGACAGTGGGTCAGGACCCTTCCTGGAAGCTGCCACATACACTGCGGATGGCAGAGCCAAGAGGGCTCTACTGCCCTGGCAGGCAGGCCCAGCTCCAGACTGAGTACAGGGCTACCAAGGCTGCTACCCAGTTCCATCCCCTTCAAAACCTAACCTCTTCCCTGAGCATCTATTCCCCAAACCTGGGCCTGCAAGGGAGAAAGAGTATGTGTGGCTCAGGGCAACTCTCCAGCTTGCAGAAAAGAAAGTGATAGTCATGTCCCACTGATAAGCAAAAAGAAGCACATAATAATGAATGCCTTACTTATTGTTTTTCAGGTTCAACAGATGATGTTTTTAACTGCAATCTGTCACCCAGATCATCTCTAACAGAGCCCCTTTTGTCAGAATTGTCATTTCCAAGTGTTCTGGAATCTGAAGAGATACCCAAAGAATTTATCTGATTGGACTGAACATTTTTGATGTGACTTCTCTACTCCAGCTGAAGGGATGAGAGGAGGTGGGAGGCAAGCACTTCCATCCCTTGCCAACCCCAGCTCCCCCATGCCTTTTAAGAGGATTCCTATCTCCATTTCCATGGCATCATGCCCTGGGAGGGTCAGTGCAGCTGGATTCCTTCAAGGTTTCAGTTACCAGAGTGGAAGGGCTTTGGCCCCATGGTGTGGAGGTGGGAGATTCTCTACTTGGCACATTTCTCTAAGGCTGCAGGGTCCTGCAACCCTGAACCTTTGCGTGGCACCCTAGTGCCCTAGCAGTGTTCCTGGCCACTACCATGGGAATCATCTGACTTGGGAGTTGGCTCAAGTATCACCTGTGATGTTTCCTAAATCAGAATCTGACCCTCTTCTTGGGACACCCTTGGTAATGCCCAAAGCCAGGAAGCATGGGGCTCATGGGGCTCTTCTCTTCAAAGCTGTTGAGCAGAAAGCCTGCACCAGCTTTCTTGGGGAGGCAATCATGTGTTCTGATCTGCCTCTATGAAATCTTATGAGAAACTTCAACATTTGGTTTACTGGAGGATTGGCCAGGTAGCTAGCACAGTAACCTTGACATTCCTTGCCTGAAATGTGAAGTTTTTTGGCCTCCCTCTTAGCACATGGCCCATCCAGAATGAGGTCAGGTGATGTAGTACATGGCAGCGTCCTCCTTCCTGCAAGCACATTATATCAGTTGGGCATTTAAAATAAGCTTTAGCAATTCTAACATGAAAAGAAAAATAGAAGAAAGCTATACAGTATCATAATACATTGTTACATCAATACACTTTTCCTCTTAGCTGCAGTGGAATTCTTCAAAAGAAGAAAGCCTATTTCCATATAAAAACTTGCATGAATGAATCACTACATATGTTCATAATGAGATTTATGGCTCCCAAGCATCATTTTTATATCCTTTTAAAAATATGTTCCTGTATTGTACATTTTGATAACACTATTGATGGTACTGCCACTTATATTGAAATTTTATGTAGTACATTTGCACAGTTAAAATTTTCTTAGCATTCAACCTAGAGTGGATTAAATTTGTGACCAGGGGTGTGTGTGATTATTTCTTTGTGATTTTCTGGTGGTATATATCCTTATAACTTAATAATTACAGTAGGAATTGTGATTTCCATAGCTACTTTCTTAAGAAGAGCCTTTTGAAGAATGGAACTATAAAATATTTGGAGGAAGGAAACAAAATTTGATTCTGCTCTTTCAGAAAACAGAAGGGAAATGTTCCTTTATAACAAAAGAGGATAAGCATTAGCTATTAAATTCAGTAAAAAATGAAGAATATAATAATAAAGTAGATTTTTATACCAGTACAAACAAACTTTAGGTTCGTTGGGTGCATTCCAAAAGAAATGATTTCAAAATTGACAAAATATAAATAGCTGAATTGAATAAAACCATTAGCAACTGCTCTGGAAATGTCCTAAAGGTCTGAGAAGTGTCTTTCATCCTTAAAAACATTTTTTAGTTGACAGAACCAAATTTATTCTCAGCAAAGTTTTATAAACTACTTGTAAGGTAATTATACACTGTGCTAGAGCATTTTATTAGCAAATATAACAAAGAAATGAGATTTAAAAACCTATAAATTAATGAAACATAGGAAGCCTCCATCTGGGTACATATGTGGCCCTATGTGGCTATTTTAAGAGTTTAAGATCAATAGAAATTTGCAGAACAGTGGTATGTTTGCTGATGGTTTGTCCCAACCAAGACTAACGTTGAAATTTAATCCCCAATGTCAAAGTTAATTGCATTTAGAAGTGTCTCTTTGGGGAGTAATTAAGATTAGATGGGGTCATGAGGATGGGGCCCTCACGATTGCATTAGTGCCTTTATAAGTAGAGGAAAAGAGGCCCAAGCAAACAAGCTTGCTCTGTCTTATCATGTGACATCCTTCACTTTCTCAGTACTGCGCAGAGTCCCCACTAGCACGCATGAGGCCCCCAACAGAAGCCTAGAGGAGACTCACACCATACTCAAGTCAAAATTTTCTTTAGAAATTACCCAGCCAAGGAACTCTGTTATAGTAACAGAAAGTAGACTAAGACACGCAACAATGACCTTAACAATCTGTCTGTTCAATTCTTTCATCATCAGCACATATGTTTAAATGGCTACCATGAGTCATGCACTAAGGTGGATGCTGGCATATAATGGTGCTTAAATATGACTTTTGCTTTCAAGGAGCTTTCAGTCATGTTAAGACAGAGCTGAGAGTGCAGCTCAGTGAGAGATCATGTACTTAGCATGTGTGAGGGCCTTGGGTACAAACCTCAGCACCCCCTCACCAAAATACAACTTTCAAAAAGGAAAATATCAAAGATATCTGAGATCCTGTTTTGGCAATAAAATGAAATACAACTAAAATTTAGGGGTTTTTGTTGTTGTTGTTGTTGTTGTTGTTACAGGGGATTGAACTCAGGACCTTGTGCTTGGGAGGCAAGCACAGCCCCACTGAGCTAAATCCCCATCCCTGTAAAATTTAATTTTAAAACAAATTTGTAAGGATTGGTTTATCCAGATGATTGACTTATACAAGTTGTCAATGACCTTGGGGACTATTAATTAATTCCAATAAGAATGCAAGTACAGAAACTACAGAATGAGGAAGTTATTTTTGTCATTGCCTGATGGTCATAATTTGATTTTTGGCTAAAGGACATTGCCCAAACTGTCACCTACCTTGATTATCAACTAGAATGTATTCTTAATGTTTTAAATATCCAATCAGTCTTCAAAGAATAAAGTTATGTTCTTACTGAAGAAATTCAAAAGAATGTGTCCATCAGTTTCTTAAGGGAGTTTCTAAAGAATTTCAAAGATACTTTAAGCAATGGCAGCATCATTAAAATGAATTACTTTGAAGAAGAGAATATTCATTTAAATGGGCACATGCTGGTAAAACAGATTTAAAATGAATGTTCACACTTGATGTTCATAACTTAAATAGACCTAAAAGCAGAACTAACAATAGAAGACACTGGTAATTATCCAATAGCTGGCTCCCTCATTAAGAGTTCAGGGAAGGAAAAAATACAAGAAACAGGAGGAAGAGCCCTGCCCCATCGCAGCTGTAAGTGCACACAGATGGTGGGGAGCAGCGGTGTGGACCAGTGCCATGTGGCCACAAGCAGATCTGAGCCAGGGCTCTGCCCTGACTCCAGAGGCTTGGGCACACTCGCCCAAATCAAAGGCCTGCCTGGAAAAGAGCTGAACAGATGCACAAGCAAGAGCCAGAGGTTCAGCTCCAAACCATCAGTAAGTGTGCCAGACCCTAGCCAGAACTGTGCACACAAGAGGAACTGGGGTGCACAGCCCCCAGCCAAAGGCCATCCCAGACAACAGGTACATAGGGGCTCTAACCAGGGGCAAATCTAGACACCATCCCCAGTGTGCACAGGCCCCAGGCAGAAGCCCATCCAGACAACAGGTCAGATCAGGGATCTGGAATGCCACCATTCTGAACTCAGGAATTAGTGTACTGGTGAGCAGCAGAGAAAAGGATGCTCAGTGGATTTCTGAGAGTTGAAGACCACTGGGTGAGCAAAAAGTTGCCTTAACAAAGGCATAGCAGGCTGCATCTGTTGAAATGAGAAGACACATAAACAAGTCTCAAAACCAGACTTCCAGATCACCTAAGGTAATGCAAAGAGAAAGAAGAAGGAACAATATGAGACTCAACAACCTGGACTCCCTGAGCTGGCAACAAAAGAGGATCTGGAAAAAATGAAATCAGAAATAATTTTTCAGATAACAGCAGCCATTGTGCCCATAGTGGAAAACATGATTAATAAATATAGAGTAGACAAGAAAAAAATTGAGGAGCTGAGGAACATAATGGAATCCCAACACAGGAAACAAATGGAATCCATAAAACAGATACAAACAGATTTCCAGGAGATTAAAAACTCCATTGAAAGTTTTCACAGCAGAATGAGCCAATGTGAGGACAGAATTTCAGGTATAGAAGAAAAGATTGCAATTAGTGACCAGGAAAAGAAAAATTGCTTTATAATAGTAAAGGACCATAAGAAATCAATCCAGCAGCTGTTAGACTGTGCAAAGAAGAATAACATAAGACTGATTGGAGTCAATGAAGAAACAGGAGAGACTGCAGATGACATAAAAACTGTTCACAAAAGTAATGGCAGAAAACTTTCAAAGCAGGGGAAAAGAGCTGGACATACAGATAAGTGAGGCATATAGGACTCCAACTAGCCTTGATCAAAAAAAATCTACACATAGGCATATAACTGTTAAGATTCCAGAAATCCAACAAAAGAAAAAAGTTTTGCAAGCAGTTAGAGAAAAGAAACAAATCACATACAAAGTTAAGCCCATCAGAATCACAGCAGACTTCTCCACACAAACCCTCAAAGCAAAAAGAGCTTGGAGTAATGTATTTCAAGCCCGATAGGAAAACAGCCTCCAACCCAGATTGATGTACATTACAAAACTATCTTTCAAAATTGATAGATAAATAAGATACTTTCAGGACAAACAGCATCTTAGGAACTTCATGAATACCAAACCTGCGCTCCAAAATATTTTAAACAATATCCTAGGAAAAGGCAATGAGAATCATAACCCCAGGAACCCAGCAGAATGAATCCATCAGACATGGCAATAAATTAACCACAAAGGGGGAGAATACAACAAAAAGAAAAGGTCATAACAATGATAACTCAATACATATGAATTATAACCACCAATGTTAATGGTCTCAATTCACCAATCAAAAAAAAATAGACTTGTAAAATGGGTCAAGAACCAAGATCCAGCATATGCTGCATACAAGAAACACACTTAATTCAAAAAGAAACACATACACTGAAAGTCGAAGGGTGGAAAACAATACTCCATGTGACAGGTACCTGAAAAAAAAAAGCAGGAGTAGCTATCCAGCTATCCTCTTTGCAGATCAAGTGGATTTCAAACCAACACTGATTAAGAGAGACAAAGAAGGACACTATATCCTTGTAAAGCAAACAGTCCAAGAGGAAGAGATGACAATCATAAACATATATGCATCAAACACTAGTGTACCCAACTATGTAAAACAAATACTAACAGACATGAAAAATCAAATAAGCACTAATACAATAGTAGTGGGGGACCTCAATATCCCACTGTCACAAATAGATAGATCAGCTAGATGAAAAACAAGCAATGAAATACTAAAACTCATTAAAACTCTTGAACAAATGGACTTAACAGATGTTTACAGAGTGTTCCACCTCACAAAATCAGAATAAACATTCTTTTCAGCCACACACAGGTCATTCTCCAAAATAGACCACATACTCCCTCATAGAACATGTTTAAGTAAGTGCAAAGAAATTGAAGTTATCCCCTGTATATTATCAGACCATAATGCAATGAAATTCAAGATCAATAGCAAAAGAAACTGCAAGAATTTTATAAACACATGGAAATTGAACAACACACTTCTGAATAACCAACGGGTCACAGATGAAATTAATGAAGAAATCAGACAGTCCTTACAGTTAAATGACAATGACAATACAACATATCAGAATCTATGGGACAAAATGAAAACAGTCTTACAAGGAAAATTCATAGCAGTGAATAGACACCTTAGGAAAACAGAGCGAGCCCAATTAAACAACGTGATGCTAAACATCAAGCTTCTAGAAAAAGAAGAGCAGGACAAACCCAAATCTCATACAAGGGAGGAAATTATAAAGATCAGAGCAGAAATCAATGCAGTGGAGACTAAAAGAAAGATACAAAAAATAAATGAAGCCAAGAGTTGGTTTTTTGAAAGAATAAACAAAATTGACAAACCCTTAGCCAACCTTACCAGAAAACAGAAAGAAAAGACCCAAATCCATGCAATTAGGAATGAAGAGGATGAAATTACAACAGACCCAGCAGAAATCCAGAGGATCATCAATACCTACTTTGAGAACCTGTATGCCAATAAGGTGGAAAACACAGAAGAAATGGACAGATAACTAGATATGTATGAATTACCAAAGTTGAACAAAGGAGACCTAAAAATTCTAAACAA